CAGACTATACTGAGCTACAGCCCAGAAGGCTCATCGCCGTAAAAGATCCTAATTCTTGTGATAATTCCACAAAACATAGTAGAAAGTCTGTTTTTGAGTATTTGTATTACGAAAGTGGAAATGTCACAAGTAAATCTTTTTCTTACACGAGGACTGGGTGTACTGAAGATCGTTTTGAGGTTCAACAAATGGTCCGTCTATCCCTAGGTCTTGCTATTATTTCTTCCTGTAGGGGAATCTGTGTGTGTAATTCTATATAGAACCTCTCTTCCTTATTCTGGCTACGTGTCCTACCCAGTGCATCCATGTCTTCCGTTTACATTCTGTGACGTTTGATAAGATACCTCCCAGTAGCGAACTAAAGAAACTTAGAACAAATAATGTCTGGGCAAAGATTTGAACCCAAGAACCAGGAATAATCGAATCAGGAGTACTGATCACTTGGCCACGACGTTAGTTATAAACAATTGATTAGACGTCGATGTTGGTATTCTGGGTTGTAACTCCGTATGGGCTTGTTTGTAGGTAGACACCAACGTTTCGGAGAAACGTAATACCTCCGTCTTTATCGCCTTACCAACATTTTCACCGCCGTTAGAACTTAATTTCACAATGGATTAGACATTCATGTGATAGTCATAAATGGATCTGGTGCAAAATGATAATAATTGCAATTATACGACGGCAAATCTATAAACCCTGTGTCTGCCAATGGGACGTTTAAGATGAAGTAAAAGGAGACTGATTTGCGTTTTCTGTGGAACGTTTTCGTGCAGTTCAAATCGGCTCGAAGGCGTTTCCCTTTACCCTAAACTATAACAACAACAACGGAGCGCCGAAAGTCATGATGTGTTCGTTATATCGTTGTTTCCTTCTTGTATTTCAAATTTTATACGGGCAGATTGTCATAAAAGTGGCCGATCTCGCAGCCTGTTGGGTCCAGATGTGCATCCCACGTTGGCATCACAACATAAACTCCGCGAACGAACGAGGTCTAAAGCAGGGGTTTTAAAACCGTGGCCCGGGAGCCACATGCTGTTGGGCGATATGTTTTGTGTTGTCCGTGTCTCGGTCCAGAGAACGGCTATCTTGATTGAGGTTTGTGTGGCTTTCCTCAGTTACTCCACGAAAATCTCGTAATGGTATTTTAAATTAGTCTGCGACCGCTTCCTTTTATATCCTGTCCCATTCATCAGTCATCCTTTTTTCGTCGATATGAACTATTGACAGCGTTGTTAAAGAAACTACAAAATGAATAAGTTAAGGAACATTTTAGATACGAGAATTTTACGAAATTCACGAAGGAAGAAATAATGAAACCGAAAATGTGTCCGTTTTAATAGTTAGAGTGTAGTTGTCACTTTGGTGATAAAATACAGTTGCGAGTTGGTGGTAAACTGTGAGCTTATATCTGGAAAATTTAACGTATACGGAATCAGTACCAGTGGAAATAATACACAAGAATGGATCACTGAACCATGAAATTATTAATACTTGCCATGAAAAACCATCGAATGACACTTTAAGAGTTATTTTATACATGAAGAGTGTTACTTTAAGGCTTTGACCGGGATGTTAAATCTTATGTGGTACCGCCTGATTCGACTTCTAATGGTTAAGTGAAGTGTTTTCTTCGCGGTACGGTCTGGATTCGTAAATATTATGAAGACGAGCTTCGGCTTCAAAGGGTTAACCAGCTGATTTTCGTAATGGTGAGGTGTAGTGTTTTCTTCGCGGTACGGACTGAATTCATAAATAATATTCAGACGATCTTCGGCTTCAAAGGGTTAAAGGAAAATAGCGCGCGAACTGCCAGATGGAGTTACTGTGGGTGAGTTCCAAGCTGTGTGATCGTAGGAAGCCCTGCCTAATGCAATTCCTGGATGGAGAAACGTGACTCTGATGCTTCTACAGGAGATTAATTACCTGCTTAATTAATGAGAACGTCTGTTGGCAGGAATCAGGTGCGTGTCCGAGGAGAGAGAGAGGAGCAGAATGGTAACGATAAGAATGAAGGAGACGGAGAAAACGCTCCTGAACATTGGGACGTGAAATGAAATGAATTAAAGACGAAGAAAAAGTTGTTTAGAAACATGAAACACTTCTAACACCTGCTTTCCTGACAATGCTTCATATACATGGCGAGATCGCAAAGCGCGGTAATAATCAGAAATGGTCTAAATCAGAAACTTGTTTACGTACGTTACTTTGCTCGGGTAGGAAAACCGACGAATATCACAAAAGATAAAGTATAAATTCTTCTACGGTCCAGAAAGTGTATTCATCCAAAAGTGAATAAAGGTGAATCAAAATACATGAAGAGGAAATAAAAATTAGCAACAAAATCATTTGAGAATTTTTAAAGTTTTGACGAACAGGAATGGGCTCATGATGAAATTAGAAACAAATACATTTAGGAAACTGTTATCGTATTCTTTCGTTTTCAGAAGACAGACAGTCTGGAGGCACCCAACTCTCTCCATAGAGCAAAGTCCTTTGGAAGGTGTCAGTACACAGTTTAGTCAAGAAATCGTCTGCCAAAGGTTCTCCTCTGTATTCACAGAAGCCTGCCACTGGTCCATATCTTGAGCCAGATGAATCCAGCCCTGTTTTTGTAGCAAACATTTTAATATTATCCTTCCACCTATACCCAGGCATTCCAAGTTGTCTCTTCCTTTCCAGCTTTCCAACCAAAATTCTGATATCATAGGTCCATCTGTGCTGCATGCTCCATCCATCTTATCCTCCTTTATTTTAACATTCTAATAAGAGTTGGCAGAAGTTATGGAGTTCCTCATTGTGCTGTTTTTTCCATCCTCCTGTCTCTTCATCCCTTTTAGGTCCAGATATTCTCTAGAACACCCTGTTCTCAAACACCCAACCTCTGTTCTTCTTTTATTGTGAGAGATAAATTTTCACACCCATACAAAACAAGAGATAAAATAATAAATAATCTTTACAGTTTTAGATAAGAGACTGAAAGATTTTTTGAACTGTGTGGTAGAAAGCATTCCCTGAATTTAATCTGCTGAAAGAAAGGCGAAACAGTTTTTGGAAGCTAGAGTCGAGGGTACCAGAACAAGAGGAAGACCTAGAAAGAGCTACTTGGATATTAATAGAGAAATAAGACAGACAAAGGAGAAAAGTTTAACGCAGATTAAATTCTTAGCGAGGGATAAGAAGGAATGGAGGAGGTGGACCGAGCAATCAACCCCGACGCTACAAAGGCAAAAGGGAGATGAGAAAGAAGAAGAAATTTTTATCTGCTCTTAATATCTTCGTGAATGAAATTTCGTTTGGATTCACCGCCGTTCTTCCAAAATATTGGAACATTGACGGATTCTTAAAAGATTTATTAGAGACCATTAATTCTGTAGTTTGGTGATGAGACATGAACATTTAAATGTTGTTGTGAGAAAATCTGATACATTCTTTTGGATTGTTTATTAATAACTAGAAAAGTACATCAACAGGAAATATTTATTTTGTAAGAAAAAAAAAGACCTTTTATAAACTTACATCAACAGGAAATATTTATTTTGTAAAAAAAAAAAAAAAATTGGACCTTTTATAAACTGCTGAGATTGAACAGAGGTGAACATAGTTACCAGAAATACCATTATCTTAACATTAACTACAGAACAAATTACATCATAATTTTTGACTTATATATATATAAATAACATCACAGTACATCCAAATGCAATAATTTCCCCCAAAGACATTCCCACTTTGTGCACATCATCCATGTAACATGGAGACAGAGCTCTGCATCGCACGTTCCGAATTACATTCCGCTAAAAGGAGAGACTTACGTGTTATCTCTTTCACGCACTTAAAAGAAGTTTCACAATTCTGCTCTTAATCGTGACACTAGGTCAAAGGGAGAGAGAGTTCAGCTTCATGCTCTGAACACTTTCCGACGGGGAAAGAACTCCGGTACCCGTCAGACGGGAGGAGGCCCTGGATGTGGTGCGAGAGAAAAATACCTTCCCCTGCTAGGAACTGAATCCTGTTTGTCGAGACCATAGTTGGTAATTTTACCGACTGAAAAACGTTAGCATCTGGAATGCATTAGTATTTCAGGTACTTTAATTAAAAACTACTTTAAATTACTTTGACTCGTCCAAGGAGTCCTACCGAATGTCCATAGATCAAGCCAATTGAAAAAAAGTTGGGGACCCGTAAAGGGTACCGGAAAATGTACAAACATTGTTAAACCGGAAAATAAGAAGAAGAATTACTTTGCTGTATTAACATGAAGCCATTAGTTAGCTCTCATATAATTTCATTTTCCTACATTCTTCAAATGTAACTTTGTGCGTAATTGAGGAAGTAAATGTCTTCAACTGAGAATAAAGAAAATTTACCATTAGTCCTTGAAGAATTAAATATTATTTTGTGCAGCCTCGATTCATATACACACACACGAGACATCAGTGGCATTTTCAAGTAGTCGGCAGCATTGTTCTATCGACCTTTATAGATAGGACCAATATCTGAAATTTGGTCGTGATACGATGGGCTCAAAACCCAGTCCACAAATGAGCTTTGTCCAGTTAAGTTTAAACACAGTAAAATGTTGATAAGCCACAGAAAACAAACATAAAGACATTGATAACATTATTGTTTTGTTTTCTGATAGTCTTATAGAAATCTTTCACATTTTAATTTTATTTCTCTCATCGCTTGCCATCTCTGTAAATTTGCAGCCGACAACCAGCATATCCCTAGCTGCAGTATAAATTGCGTAAATAAAATCGTATTAGAAGGGGAAATTTTAATTTTGCAGTATTATAACATAATAATTATAATGCAATGAGAATGCAGAATTACGAGTTCTCTTCCTCTCGCTCATACACATTTTGATCTGCTTTAACGAACATTGTTATGGCAATCAACGGATCGTATATGTTCTTTTATGAATATTTTATATTGAATTTTATATCATAAAATATATTAGATACTCGTGACTGTAATATTATTATATTGAAAACAAATATTGTCAAACATGTATTTTATAGACTTAATTACAAGTTAATTTTATTTACTGCCAAAAGTAATGACACTTCGCTAAGTTAATTAATTATTGCATTTACCTTTTACAGACATTGTGGTGTAATGAAATACGTGAACTTTCCATTCTCACACAATCAAATTTACATATATTCACCATTCACGGTGGGAGAACCACGTACGCGCACACACGAAGGACAAATTGCAGGTTGCATAAAATTATGATAAGCTTTAGCTGGCAAAAATTGACATGTAAATTACCACTTTCCAATTGAAATGTTTACTTTACATCTCTCCGTGTATTCAACTGAAAAGGTTTAGACACTGTACAAAGATCAGTCTTTATTCGTGCTTGGAAGTAGCAGTTCCACCCATAAGATCTGGGTCATCAATCGCTCCATTGTAACCCTTTGCTTTTTTGGATCGTGCCGCCCATTCCACAAAGCAGAATGAGATGGTTCCGATCGTGGCCAGGAGTACCAGAATTCCGAGTTGTGCGTGTAGAGCAATATGGCTGCTATAGAAGAAACTGGCGGCGGCAGCTACAGACTAAAACGCAAGCAAATCGTAGGAATAACTGAATAGTCTGTCATCTTTTTCTTTTAAGTCAAGAGAAGTTTGTGTTGATTTACTAAATTACGCTTAAAAATTCTAATTTCCCACAGACTAAGTAAATTTTGGAAGTATACCTGGGTGAATTTGAAGAGAGCAAAAGCGGGCGCACTGTCTTCGGGGAAAACTCCTCCTAGTATAGAGTAGATCTGTGTGTTGTAACAACTGTCACCAAACCCAAGCAACAAGCTGCACAGGATGGCAATGTACGCACTGTAACAGCCAAGAAATATAGATTAGTTCCATCTGATTCCGTATTTACATCTGTGGTTTATTTTTCATAGCCTCGTGGCTGTAATGATCACACGATATTGTTACAAAATATAAAATACTAAATATGCAAGGGAATTTCCATCAGTGTCTACACATAATGAAGGCTGTGATTTCTCTAGCGTTACCGAATGGTACTCTCCGCTGGCACTTTTTAAAATAAAAAACAGGCAATAAAAATGTAATGAAAATTGTCCAGAGATATAACAACAAGTTCTTATTTACTGTTCACATTTCACTTCAAAGATAAATATTTTGAAAAGTAAACACTTGGGGAAGTATTTCCGTCATTTAGTCGCATCTGAGTACAAGCAAAAAACCCCCCCCCCCCACTTGGATGGGTCTGTGCAAATTGTGTATCAAGTAATACTTTTATATGAAAACACTGCTGTCAGATTACAACTCGAATATAAAAATGGCTTTTGAAGTGCGAGACTACTCTTTCTTGCTTTTATTTCTGCAATTTAATTAGACAGAACAATTAGTGATGTGTCTCCTGGCTTTGTATACTTACTTGCTGTGTATGAAAGCAGCTTCGTCAGTGTCTCCAAAAGGAGCAGTATTGGGCAGATTTAGGAAAATAAGAAAAAAGGAAACCACGTGAATAAGGAATCCAAATATCACAATCGGATCACGACCCCATCGTATTGTCTTTGATCCCAGAATTCCAAAGATAGCGCCACCTGTTATTAAAATAATTCATATTACATCACAGAATAGTAGTGCCAAGTTTCCTTGATTTTAAGATGCACTTCTTTTCACATTTTAACATTTCTGAATTCAGAGCGCCTCACTTAATGGTACCTGCACCTTGTCGTGGTGGTGGGGCTTGAGTACCTCAGTGACCCCAAGAGCTATGCTGGCGGTAGCTAGCTAGATTGGTCAAGGGGGAGAGGTCAGACTAAGACAGGTACCCTGGTCCTCCAGGTTGGGGGTTGGTCGCAAGGTTAACAACCTTGCACCGTAAAAAGGAAGATGTTTCGAAACCTCGATCAAAGCCTCGGACAGACGGACCTTACAGAGGACAGAATGGAAGAGGAGAATTGAGGAGGCCATGGACTGAATACAGATCAGAGAGCCATAGAAGAAGAAGAAGAACTCAGAGTGTGTCTTACATTTGATATCCAAGAACCGATGTCAAAAAATTACATTACATGACTAAAGTGCAAGGAAAATTTTCATGGGACATTAAACACAAATATAGCAACAAAGATGTTGAATACTGACAACTCCTATTGTAATATATGTATTTTTTCTTCCCTAAAAACCTATTACAAAATCGAGGATGCATCTTAAAATCAGTGACATCTTAAAATCAGGAAAATACAGTAATTAACATATAACAGGGAAAAATCCTTAAAATTTAGCATTTATGTTACACACTACATGTAGTATATTCTGTGCGCTAAAGACTACACTTAGGACAACTATAATGGAGATGGGACAGCTCAGTCATTAAAGTGAATATCTATTATCTGGATAAATGGGTTTAACTCATCACAGGGGCACGGACTTTTCCTTTCACTGCCATGTCGAACCGGCTCAGACAGCAGCCGAGCCGCCCCCTACCCAACTAGTACTATACAGCTCTTTCCCCACAGCTAAATAGCTAGTGTGTCTCCCGTCATGATATGCCCCACTCATATGTATTATCGTCTTTCACGACTCTTTTTTTAAATTCTGTAGTTTGTTGGATTTCAAATACATTTTAACCCTTAAAATGGCCGGTTGCTTGGTGCAGAATATTCATTTACATTTCAGGTTAGTACAGGGGAACATGAACTCTTGTTATGGTGTAGCTCTATGCGCATTATGGCTGCTAATGGGTGCAGCTCTACGTTGGATTCCAGTTGATTAAAATATTAAAATGAAGATTACAAACTCTATTCAGAACAAGTCGTGTTGTACAGAGAATTATAGTCTTATTCTTCGCATTGCCCTCAATGAAGCCGACATACCTAAAATTTCTCCTGCGCCAATAAATATTCCCGACAAGCCAACTAGCTGTTTTACATTGGAGCCCATCTTTTTGGTGAAACCAATACTGGGACTGTACACGCCACTGAAGAAAGAGAGTTCAATGCCTGGAAAACAGAAAAGTAAAATCTGTTATGTACTTGAATTATTCTATGTCAACATGATGTCTGTTTTCACTACTATTCACTCCACTAAATAATTACACATATTCTGATAAAAATTAATACTTCTTATTTAAGCCCTTACACACTAAAGGGTTGACTTTTGCGTAGGAGCCTCTCTCTCAAATAAATTCTTGTACCTGTTCAACCTTCTTTAATAAACAATAAATGTTCAATCTGTGTACAGAGAGTATTTACTGTCAAATTATTTTCAAAATTCACAATAATTATTTATTTAAACAGCATTAACCAACTGATCATTGTAATGGAGAAGTGCTTTCTTTGAGGTTAGGACGGAATTTCTAAATATTATTTACATCATCTTGGTTTCAGGGGGTAACTCCATGCCTTAATACATCATCATCATATGGTGATAAGGAACAGTGGTAACTATTTTAATTTACCTGTAAAATTTTATATTACCAGAATGTTATGGACTTCATCCCATAGGTAAATTTACCTGTATAGAAGAATGTTATACTGAGCAGTATCATCTCCTTGGTTATTAGTAGGGCAAATGCCCTCTTCAGTGCATTCATTGGGCCACCTTCATCCTTTCGTAACATCTCTCCATCTGCGCTCTGAGCAGGTCGTAAAAGTGACAGGAATACAATGCCAATGGCTGCTATGACTAGTAGCACTATGAAAACGTTCTGTCGTGTGTCTGCGTCTATGTGCGCCTTGCCTTGGAATTGGAAGTATACAAAAAGGTTCCCAAAAAACATGCTGCAAACATATGAAAATGTAGGTAATAATTCCTGTAAATCAGAGTTGTTGTTATAATTTAAACAATGATAATCAATTTCTAACAATATGGCAACAATTAGGGATATTATTATCCATACTTTGGTATAACCTTTTAAACCAATGAATGAGCCACTCCAGAATATGAAAGCTTCCAGTGTGCTTGTATTAAATAATAAATCTGTCAGAAATATGCTGAGAATTGTGATAAGTAGCAAAGTTGATGCATGGCATTGCTAACCACTTAGCTAGGTTATGGTAATGCCAAATTAATACATCAGGCATGCAATGAACATGTTAAGTGATACTGTATGTAAGCACTACACCTCTCTATGCATTATCCACAAGATTCCAGTTATCCAAGTGATACCATCACATTTTATTTGAGTAAGTGCCTGTTAAGAATTTAAAAAAACTTCAACACAGACATCATACCTTGCCTGCAGCATGGCCCAGAAAATACCAGAATTTCTGGATATTGTCATTGAATCTGAATTAAGCGTGAGGTAGTTGCCTTGACCTGTCCAAATAATGGCTGCGCCGAATCCAATCACACATGATGCCAAATAGAGCAGCCATGTTTTAGTTTTTTTTTATGATGCAATGAACAAGCTGAAACAACAGTGAAGAGTGAATTCATTATGAGTACAGATGTGTGTGAACCTCATGGCAGGTATTCCTTATTTGCACGTCAGCTATCCAGGATATTTCAGGTGTGATTTGTAGTATGTGTCTGTGGTTCTCATATTGGTACATACTCGGTTCCTCATTATCCAACCCCTGTAATTTAAAAATTTAGATTATAATAAAAATTACTGTAAGGTATATATTTTAATGGCAACTCCTATTTGAAATAAAATAGGATGGGTACTCTGCTAGCATTATAATAATTATCATATCTGTAAGCATAGTAATAGATCACATGTATGCATATGTTTTTAATGCAAGATATATTCATGAACTCTTACATACTTATCTTTTTATTCACAAAAGAAATTGGAGAAAAATTCAATCTAATTTATGTACTGTCCACTAGTATTAATATTGTTATCACTAAAAATACATGAATATATATTTTAAACATTATTTTCTTTCTCTCTGCTGATTCATTTCTTTATTTGAAACTGACTGTTGAAAGAACAGCATAGTTTCAGGCAGAAGGCTTAGACATTACAAAACTATGCAGTATATATAACATACAACTGTGTCAAAACATCTCAGCCTGTTAATTTTAAAGGAAAGTATTTATAAAATAAGAGTTTGTTGTCTTAAACAACTTTCATATTAAAGATTTCTGTCTTCTGGGTTGTTGCGCTGTGTAGTCTGGTCGATGTTTACCAATCGCCCTGATGACGGAGGCAGTATGACCTCTGAAACGTTGGTTAACATCAACCAGACTACACAGCGCAACAACCCAGACGACGGAAATCTTCATACTCACCGCTGTGAAAACCGCAAATCTTACATTTAATATTCAACTTTTTAGGGTAGCCTCCAAAGGCAAAACATCCATACCAAATTATAAATCAGATGAATAATAAATAACAAAATTAACTGAAGTAAAAATTTCTACTTCTATTATACATGTGTAATGGATTTAAACCTCCACACTACCTGGCTTCTGGTCAGACTTTAACTCTGTGGTTAACAGTATGGTGGTACGCTAATGCAATACACAGCCTACTGGACTGCAAAGCTGATAAAGATTAACCATTGCTGTGTGGCTTGGAAAAATGGATGTGAGAAAAAAAGTAAGCTTCACTTTTCAAGTAATATAATTTTACAAGAGATAAATGGGTGTATAAATGTTAACATTTAAAATTATGAAACAAGACATTATTAAATATACATTTCCATTTCATAAAAAAATTAATGCATGCAAAAAAACTTGTATTAAGAACATCTGAAGAATGGACAGATTCTGCTGATGACGATAAATGTCACGGAATATCGAATTAAAAAAAGTTGGGGACCCGTAAAGGGTACCGGAAAAAACTGTCGTGGTGGTGGGGCTTGAGTACCTCAGTGACCCCAAGAGCTACTGGTAGGGCCTCCCTAGCCAGATTGGTCGAGGGGGAGAGGTCAGACTAAGACAGGTACCCTGGTCCTCCAGGTTGGGGGTTGGTCGCAAGGCTAACAACCTTGCACCGTAAAAAGGAAGATGTTTCGAAACCTCGATCAAAGCCTCGGACAGACGGACCTTACAGAGGACAGAATGGAAGAGAAGAATTGAGGAGGCCATGGACTGAATACGGACCGGAGAGCCACAGAAGAATAAGAAGAAGAAGATGGACCTCATATGGACCTGAGAGCCATAGAAGAAGAAGATATGTTAGAAATGAACTTACCAGTATGTGATAGCTCCTATAATCATAGCTATCCTAGGTCCACTAACACTAATAATGGAAGGAGCAAGCCAATTGCATAGAGCAAACACAGCGTATATGACAGCCAAACTGGTATAACCATCGCCTTCAAAACTACTGTCATCTTGACGTATACTATCTAATATTGTTTTCTGGAACAAAGAATGAGATTTAAGTTATAATACAGAAGACAGGGTAAGTTGAAGAGGTTGGTAAATACATGAAATCATACAAATTAACACGTTACATCTTCTGTCTTAAAAAATTCATTATGGGTTGACACTCTCCAACATAAATTACACATGACTCGACTGTAATAAGACAACAGAATAGAATACAAAGATGAACATGTCAAATCTGCAATAAACAGGGAGTAAATAAGTAAGAAAAACTCAAACTGAAAGATGGTACTGTTCTGATCAGGGCTGCATATGCATATTAGACTCCAGTAGATGCCACCCAATTTGTTCCACATCTCGTTCTTTAAGAAAGTTGTTTCAATTGTATTAAGGTGTCATGACTATCATTCCCAGCAACAAATGCTTGAACCTGCATTATAATAATTTCCTTTATAACGTGTGTTGGTCATATCTCCATTCTTTTCTGCTGAGCTGGAGTGTGTGTCTAGTTCTGGTCCTGGTAAATCGTGGACCTATTTGCACATTTTATGTCAGAGCAGGATGAACTTTTAGAGAAATATCCTCCAAGCAGCCTTCATCTAAAAAAATGTTGGTTATACCTGAATAGAAAATTAGAGCTCTGGTAAGTCTAACCAGACTGCTGCCAGAAAATTGTGGTTAATGTACGCAATTTCAACTGTTTGCCTGCAAGGTCTATATTTGTCAGTTATATGCATATCCATAATGTTTTCTGCCCTATAAGGAGAGAAATGCAATAAAAAAATATGTGAAGTAAGTAATCATGGATAAAATAAAAATGTATGTTTTATTTAATTTTATCGCTCATAAATATCTCTCGTTCATATAACTTATATTTCTCGTGTTATTGTGGCACTCGCATTAACTTGTCTTTTCTTGTAATCGCGCGATGGGGGAGCAGTGCTGCAACACTGGAAATAATTTCCAGGAGCCTAGTGATTAACCCCTAGACATGCACACACTTCTTCTATATGAAGATGGCTGTCTTCTGGGTTGTTGTTTAATGAAGTTATTTTAATTGTCTACCATCATCCATGCCTCCACCTGCTTCTATCATTAGGGCAATGAGATCACTCATCACCCTGATGATGGAGGCAGCCATCTTCAGGCTCACCACCATGAAAACCTCAAATCCTTCTTCTACATGCTTGGAATATCCAGTTACAACATACACCCACTGAACTTTCCTTGGACTTAATCCAAAAGCAGGTTATAAAGTTGCCAAGACCTTACCAACTTGCCCTAAGCCTCGACTACTTTAAAAGTGAAAGTTCCGCTGCTATGCAAAAGAAACTGATCTTGGTCAATTTGTAAGATAAAAAAACCCTGCAGAACACATGACTTGTTTATGACATAAATTTAAACAAGTACAGCAATTATTCTTATTGAACCTACCACAAAGTCTTTGAACCTTGTTCCATGAAACTTCTCTGCCAATCTCCTGAACAAATAGATCAGATCACAAATCTAAATGAATCATTGCAGCAGAACACGAAATGTAAATTTAGCTGTGGGGTTTCCATGGCAACATTCTTGATAAAGGCCTGTCTCCAGATTGGCCACGAGCTAAGTAGCTCAGCTAGGATACTGACTAGACTATGGGCTGAAGACTGTGTTTGATTTCTACCATGGGTGGGGTATTCTTGTTAAGTATGTCAGTCTGTCTAACACTTCAAAAGTGAAAAATAAAGACTTCTATCTTACTTTCATAGTTCAGTGGCGCTCCATACATGAGAACGTCAGCCAGGTACTTGTGGCAAATGTAAGCCTCAACAAGATGGCTGGAGCTAGATAATAATGTATTTTATCTGATCACTTCTGCTGTGTTCTAGTGTATGGTATACCACTGAAACACAAAAGTAAGGTAGAATACTCTGTTTTTTCCAGTGTTTGCTGGGCTAACAATTAACATGAACACTCTCCCCCTTGACTTATCTCTCAGCCTTCTTTCCAATGGGTACTGAGGACTCTTTCCGTCTAGTGCTAAACCTCCACTCCCAGTACATCATTATGGCTTCATGATTACTTAGCAAGAACAAGGGACAGCTTACTTTTATTTTTGCCTACAGACATGACATCAACATTGGTGTCAGTGAACTGCTACTAATAATTTTAAAGATTTTCATGGCCAGCTATCAGCATAGAAATGTAGTGACCTGGTACTGGGGCAGAAAAACTTGTATGAGGCCACAAATACCAAGAAAAACTGAAATCAGGATAGTTGGTATCCTAGCCCAGGTTCGAGACGGCAATTTTCTAATACAAGTCCACGCCATCCTGTCCGGTCGTTTCATTTCAGATGATGGCGAGTAGTCTGCTTCACGATCCGGCTACCTAACTGCTTATGAAGCAGTCGCTAGTATTAGAAAGGACAAGGAAAATCAGTTTATTGACGAGTTTGCAATGAAGTTCCAAAATTCTCCAGTTAGCTTTGTCTGTCCGCAAGTAACTACTCGAGAACCGCTGATGAAATTCACGGAATTTGCTGTTGGAAGTTGTACGAAAATTCACCGACACATTTCAATTTTAGTTAAAATCGGACAACACTAACGGACACTTGACACGAACACATGCGTGCCTTTCTGTGCGCACCTGAGCGTAACTCACTAGATATTTGAAGGAGCGAAAAAATTAGAATCACATTTTGTGCCCAAAAACTCTTTTCCCGCAAGTCTTACGGTTTTCGAGACAGTTACACAAAAGGGATTTTTGTGCTCTGTCATCTCACAACTCGAGAACCACTGGACCGATCTTGATCAAAATTTGTGTTGTGTTTTGCTTATCAGCCCCGCTTGTTTTACGATATTTATAAGAATGCATCATAAGTTATTATTCACGAACTGAAAATCTAGAGACAATAACACAGCAATCGCGTTATAATTGTTAGCTCGTGCAATCATTTCTTAAGGAAGATTTCTGTCTTCTGGGTTGTTGCGCTGTGTAGTCTGGTCGATGTTTACCAACGTTTCA